AGCAGGCATTTTAATTTAGGCTGATCATATTGAACTTGAGAAGGCCTAGACTTATACTTTATTAGAACAAATTTGTGGAAAGCTCCAAGTGTTTCCCAAGACCTTCTTACTTGTCAGAACTCACCTCCAGATCCTGCCTTTTCTGAAGATTTTATGGAAGCTTGGTTTTTAGGTATTTTTAAGAGTAACTTTATGGAGAGGTCTACAAAGAACAAAGTCCTTTTTTCTAATTTGATGTCTTTCCAGTATCTCAGCCGGATGATTTGGTTTTTAACACATTGTTTCCATGCTGGCTAGGCTAAATGCAACATCTCTCTAGACTGCTGACTTACTCTCACATCAGTAACAGCAGTGTTGGTAAGACTAAGCCTTATCCTATGCACATGTAGCCCATTCTTACTCATGGGCTCACAACGACCCTCATAAAGACTTTTGGGACTATTTTCTGCACAGACCCTTCCTTTCTAGCCCCAATAGATATATATTCCAGCAACTTTAGCTGACACAACTCTGACCTCTCATCAGTGGGAGTACTAGTGGGCTAGTTCATTCTATTGCAATAACGAAACTGTTCTCAGGCAGTGAGGAACATGATTGCACACTAGGTTTCCTTTCTCTTAGGAAAATGGTTTTATACAGTGTATTGTCCAGAGCATGGAAAATTAGCTCACTGATTTGTCCATTGGTTATGATCAGATAACTAGTTACGATCATATTTTAAAGCTGCTTTCCTATGGATGCTGAATAGAAGTTGTACAACACTGCCTTTTCCTGATGTAACTTTCTTAATGCACTTGGGTACTAGAAGCTCAGTTTCTCACACAAGTATCTCTAGGTTTTCTAGAATCATTTTTTCATTTGCTCATATATTCACATACAATTCACCCACAATCATCCACTCATTCAATATTTATTGAAAAGTCACTTTTCTGAAGGCTGTGAACACAGAAATGTCTTCCTTGATCTCACTTGCATACTCTTAACCGCTGCATTGTTCTTTCTCAGACAGAAAAGAGCTACATTGGAAAAGTGGGGGGTTGGGGGTAGGTGGAAACAGGGAGAGTTTTGAAGCCAAAAAGTTTTATTTTTAATAGGTGCAAACAGAGAAGGTTGTGAGAAGTAAATGGATGACTAGTAAAGAAATTTAAGAGTAGAAATCGACTGAATTAGCACATAAGGGCAGAGTTTTGCCATATTTTTCTGCACTTCCCCATGAAAACACAGTGATCTATGTTTTGAATTAGAAATAACAGAAAGCTGTTCTGAATAAAGACCCCAGAGTTCCTTTGGAAAGTTGAGGATATAGGTGGAAATGACATTACTCTGGTGATTCCCTGGTGTACACAGAACTTGTCCCATCAGATGTGCCAACAAAAGTGATCTGGGATTAGGTACATATAAGAATTGAAGTCCTTTTGGAGACTTCAAATCTGTGTCAGCACAAGGAGAGAATATGACAAATAAAATGGATTTCTTTCTCACAGAATTTCCCAAATTTGACTGACACTCCCTCCCCCCAACCCTTTTGTAAGAACATGAAGGAGAGACGGAGGAAAACAGAAGCTGGAAAATAGCCTTTGGAATAATTATTCTATGAAATCCATTTTAGCATTTGCTATTTAATTTTAATAGCAAGCACTAAGCTAAATAAAAATACATTTTTAGCAGAGGTCAAACCTAACTGCTACTGTGCCAAACAGTGCAAGGAGTCTTAGGAAGAAGATTAAAGATAGCAGAGCTGTAGTTTAGGAATATATGTGTTTCATTTTTACTAAGTAACAAATGAAAGAAATGTAGAATAGTACTAATTTATGATTAGCTATGATATTTATTTATATCTTGTACCAAACTTTTTTTTTTTTAAACTAAGGTTGATTTGAAAACAGCTGTATTACTTTAATGGAAACACTTTACAGAGAATAAACACAATAAAGCCATGGTTACATGACCGTGTTATCATGTCTTCAAGTTATCACAATGACCCACTTCTGCGAAGTCCCAAGTTATTGATAAGCTCTTGTCGCCTCATAGCAGCTACCTGAGCTACATACAATAATCTGAAGGAAAAACCCAGGTACAGCCAGTGCCTCTCAACCTTTATATAGAGACTCCCTGACACTACCCTGCAGTTCAACTATCACCTGTTGGGGGAGACATGGTGGAGGAGGTTCTGTGTGCTCACTGTGCTTACTCCTTCCTTTCCTCTTCATTTAAGGTGCTGAGGTGTTCATCCTCACCAGCACTGGGGCCATTGCTAGGACTCACCTTGGACACTAAACCCAATTTCCTGGAGACCAAATATCATATAGGTTATTGGCCACCTCTCTCATTGTTTCCTTAGCCTTTGTTGTCTCCTACTGCTATAACGTAATGTGTTAATACACTCGAATATCTAAGAAATGGCACTTTGTTCATTTCATTTCTGTATTGTGTCTGCCACGCTGATCTTTGCTTTTCCCAATTTTTGTTTTCCAAATTTTCCTTTTAGTTTTCTAAATGAGCACTTACTTTCAGATATCCTAACAAGTTGAGCTACACCATGATAAGGATCATAGACTCCAGAGCTGAACTATAGAGGTTTAAACCTAATGTGCCCCTGAGAACAAACTGGGGACCAAGTTAGTAAGGGCTCGTTACTTAATTCCCGAGTCTCAAATTCGACACTGTAAAATTAAAATTGTAATAGTAACTCTCTCCTATAGTTACTGTGAAGATTAAATGAAATAAGCAATGTAAAAATGCTTAGCATAGATTTCAAGGCATAAAAGTATTATGTTACCTCTATTATTTATTCTATATGCTCTTATTCAAATTTCAGCTTTTCACCTTGTCCTCTGTGTTTCCAGAGGTGTATTATTCACACTGAGCAATAAAATTTCCCATTCTACAGACTTGATATTATTCTTCATATTACAGAAATCAACAGAACAGGTTTCCTATTCTTTTTTTTTTTTCAGGTTTCCTATTCTTAACATTAAGATATTTCCTCCCTTCCCAGAACTGATCCCACAGCGCTCACTAATTCAGTTTCCCTTGTTCTCATAAAATTATACATTTTAAATTTTTCTCATGTTGTAACAAAACCACTATGAAAGGAATTTAAGGTTTGTTCAACATTTTCTTTTCAGGATATTGCTCTCAAACTGACTTTCTTTAACATTACTTAACACTCTTAACTCCCTTCGATCTGCGCTGGCTTCCTGTGAATTTCAGTACTTTTTTCTTGGATCAAAGGCCTCGAAAACTCCTCTTAGTATATCTTTCCTCTATGGCCTGACTGAGCCTCCTTCTTGCAGCTGTCTTAGCTCCATCCTCTCAATTTAGTAGGTATTTATTTACCATCTATAAACACACACCTGGAGTGTCTACCATGTGTTAAGGATGATGCCATGACCCATTGTCCACAAAGGGATCCTGAGCAAGAGGCTGTTAAGTGACCTGCACAAACTCCCACAACCTGGTTGACAATTAAGCAGAATAAATGTGGAAATTCAAACCGACTTGAACAAAGCTTAGTATTACATGGATTTGATGTACAAACAGTCCTTTTCATTTAAAAATCAATTTCATCTTTTACATATGTCTATTTTCCTATCATTAGGACTTGACTAGCAAAACAGAGAATATTTACTTGGGCCTCTAAATTTAGTGATGTGTCCCTAAGAGATATATTTCCAGATTTAACTTAGAGTTCATGAAAAGGGGCACCTGCCGCTTCTCCTCTGAAACTAACCAAAAAAGACCCTGAATGTGGGAGCATTCTGTGGGTCACTGGCCATCTCTTTAACAAGTCACTGTCAATAAAAGGGATGGTATTAGATTAAAAAACTTGAGAGACAAAAACACCCAAGTGAACACAATGCTCTAGATTAGGGAAAAAGCCACAAAAAGTTTGTTTAGACCACCTGGGAAAATCTGAATTTGATCTAGAGATTAGACTGAAATGCACTGAACTAGAAAAGTAGACATTAGTGATTCAAGAACAGATTTTCCTTCACATCCAGGGAAGGCTAGCCAGTAGAAAGCCCAAAAGAAATATGCAAAAATACATCTTTATTTTAAAGGACTCTCAAAAATATACTATATGAGCAAACTTGAAACTGAATATAAGAGACTAATTCAAAGCTCTATTGAGGTAAGATTTAAGTTAGTTCTCTTAAAAAAAGACATGAAAGTGAAACAGTACAGATAATTCATTCCTAACTTTCCACTTCAGACTTTGAACCTTAGTTCTGGCACCAAGAGACTGGAAACACACCCACCTTCTATGAAAGGGACAGTCAATGTGAAGTTCATCACTGAATTACAAGCAGAGGGGTTTTCATTCTCATTAAAAATTAGTTTTGCACTTGTTTTGACTTTTTTCTCTTTAGGGATGTGTGTTTTCTTAATGTAAGGTGACGTCAGTTTCTCTCCCCAAATTACTGTCTCTTAAATTATCTGAGTTAACTGAAACACCAAAACCTCCTTTAGACCTGACATATCAGGGTCTCACTGCTCTCTAAATAGTATTCACACTTTCACTTTCAGTAAAAACTCATGTTACATTGCACAGTTGGGGTCAGTGCTGAGATGCCTTACCAAAAGATGAACTGCTACTAAATACCTTTCTGATATTAAATTACTTCAGTTTGTTATATGCTGATATTCTAACAATGTTCTGAATTCATAAAGTACCACTTCACCCCAGGGTTTAAAAGTTGCAATCCATTAATCTCCCAAACTGCCCTACCAAGTCTAAAGAGCATATTCTAAGTCTGCATACAAAATACTTCCAGAGTGAGCTTATAAATCAGTCATGCTTTCAACCATACACACGAGAAACTACAACCTACATGTCCCCAACCGAGAAATAAGAAAATTCCATATAGAGGTTGAATTAAAATAATCTCATGTCAACATTTCAAGACTGAAAGCTTTTTTCTACTCTATGAAGAAAAGATAATTTAAAAACAAATGAGGCAGATATGAGGTTGCTATAAATTCTGAAAATGGCTTACCTATTAATGTAACTGAGGGCAACATAAGTTGGCTGCTGTAATTCTTGTTTTTCTAAAACACGTGGATCTGTATCTGTAATAAAAAACACAATTATGATTTTTCAGCTTTGCATTAGAATATATGAGGTTACCTAACACAAAGTAACAGATGCTAAACAGAGAAAATGATTAATTTAATATACCTCTTTTTAAAGAAAACCCAGCCAGCAAATCACGATCATTTGTCCATTCATTCATTAACAGCAAGATATTACATTACTTTTCAAGGGAATTCCAAACATCAACAGTGATAAAATGTCCATCTGTCACACAAACTCTTGCACAATCCCCCTCATAAATATTGGTTTTCACTGCTTACAGTTACAATGTTGGCATGGTTTTCGGTGGTTAATCGGCCTAAGAAAGTAAGTCTGTTAATTATGCTCACTTCCATGCTGGAACAAATTAGCTGCCATCGGAAAGTTCCATCAATTTGAAAATCTACTGAGTATTGTTCTTGCTCACTGAACACTTTTCTGGGCTTGGATTCATACTCTGAAGGGAGGTTTTTTTTAATTGTATAATGAGTTTATTGTAACTTTCCTGGGCTCTTAATTAGAAATTCTCATGCTGGTTCAGAATCCTAAATGCCACATTCATCAGAGGGGTTTCCCCTTGAAGAGAGGATTCAGCACCATAGCAACTTCCCCTAGTAGTCTTCTCTAACATGGCACCAGAAAGTGCACGTTCCACCGCTAGACATGCAGACTCAAACTCTTCCTGCACAGAATGACTGTGCTACATGTGTGCCAAAGCAATGCTGGTATAACAGGACTAGAAAGGGAGAAAACCGAGCACATTTTTGCCTTAGAAAAAGGCTCGGACATTTCACACAGATTTCTTTTCATTATAACCTCATTTAAAGCCATTATTAGAACTCTTCCAGCTGCACTTGGCAATAACACCTTCTTTGATGTAATGACAGATGTTGTTTCAAGCACCTTTGTACAGGAAGTGTTTACTGCACGTGGTAGATGTAAGATAGACCAGCTCCAAAGTGCAATAACAGATGATGGGTTAGGGGGTGTAGACACAGTGGCACAGAACATGGGTGGCAGAAATGAGGGCATGAAAATCAATCTTCAATGCCTCTGACTCCCAGATGAAAACTGGACAGTGGTGGCAATTTTATTCTTGCTGTTAAAGTTAAGAATCTCATGTTCATTTTATTGTTTTTCCTATGCCAAGAATGTCAGGGACACACTATTGAGAAACCCTGCTTCCTGGGTCTTGGCCATTGCAGGTCCTTGAAAGCCAATTTCTGAAACAAGAGACAAAGATTCTCTGAAGGGCTCCGTCCAGTCGGGTCTTAAAGTTCTTAAAGTTTTGGCAGGGCAAGTGAGAACAGATCAGTAACTCAGCACTTCCTCTCCTATAATTATTACACAAGCAATGAAGGCGTTCACAGACCTCTGGCCTATAGATACAACCAGAAACTACTCTGCAAGGGAAGCTCAGATGTCAGAAACAACCCTTATTCACACTAAGTCCCCTGTTTCTGACAGCAAAGCTCTGTGCACTTGGCTGAGCTTGCTGGAGAAGAGCCTGTAGAATGAGGCTCGCCAGGACAAGGGGTCTGGTCCCCAAGAGGTCCACTGGAATGCTGTGCAGGTAGGTGCCTGTGTGCAAACGTTGAGTTATAGGTCAGTCCTGCAAGGTTTTCCTAGGTACTTAACAAGGTCAGAAACTAGAGACAAAAATTCACGAAAATGGAAACAAAGGAAGATAAGAACAAAATAATGATTACATATGTCTGGGTACAATTTCTCAAGTGCCACACAAAAACAATTTTACCTCAAGTATAGGCACTGATTGAGGAGCTTAGCTTTTGTGACAGGGGTCTGAACTTGGTTCACTAAAACTCATTCCTTTAGAGACATCTGGTGCATGATTACATAAGGTATACTGTTTTGAAAGAAAAGATTACCATTCTGAGTCTAAAATGTGTGTGTAAAGGGGAACAGAGTTAAGAGGCCAATAAACATTTTTACATCTTCCACTTTTGCCTCTATTCCCGTAACTGATGCTCAGTCTAACAGAATTCCCATGGACCATTTCTAAAGCTTTCCTTTGTTTGCAAATTATATGATTTCTAAAATATTTTAAAAACGACATCAACTTCTTTTATTAGTGTGTGTGTGAGTGTATTTTTAAATGCATACACGCATGCACACACACACACACAATTCCCTGATGCTTAAAACAATGGTGCTGGCCTTTAACAGTCAAATTGTATCTTGTAATATTGTTTCACACAGAATATAAAAAAATTCAGCTTTCTATTTACAAAGTAAGGCCTTGAAACTTTGTCCTTTCACTTTGCTTCTATGCTAAACTTATACTCACACACTTGCAAATTAGGAGTAATGAAATGGGTTTCTGGAAGCCTCCAAATGTTTCCTTTCTCATGACCAAAAGTCTACCAGAACCACATCAGGCTGGATTCTCCTTTTTGTAGAATGCAGACTCTGGTAGCCAACAAGAAAACAGAACCTCTGGAAAGATGTTCACCAGCCTAAACTATCTTTTTCAAATTAAACATTTCCTTGGGCAACCTTTAGAACATCCATTAATGCTTTGAGTTCTTAAAAACCAATCAAAGCGCGCGGTGCCCACAAATCAGGAGAGGTGCACCAAGCACTACTAGGGGGGTCACCTCTGCTGCTGGTCACAAATAAACATCAGCCCTGCCATGTACTTCCTATGCTCAGTCTAACAGAATTCCAGCTCCAAAGTGCAATAACAGATGATGGGTTAGGGGGTGTAGACACAGTGGCACAGAACATGGGTGGCAGAAATGAGGGCACTTTGGAGCTGACTAGTGCGTGGTGGTCACGACTTGCCATTTTATGGGTTTAATGATGCCATCGAGCACCTCACATTTAGTAAAACTGTAACAACTGCCTTCATTATTTCTCCTTCCTGACAGAAAGACAACTGCCTGATGTTAAAAGCTCTTTACAGGAGATTAGAGGAACAAGAAGCTGGAATTTTCACTGCAGGACGAGGTCAGACATGAAGACAAAATCAAACTCCAGAATGAACAGGAGAGAGCAACAATATCTGCTTGTTATTAGTAAATCCAATAAAAGTAACATCCTAGTTCCATGCACTACACTATTGAGAAATTTTCCCACATCTGATAAGTCGCTGCAATAGGAGTGTGGTATGAATTGCAACAGTTATAGCCGTCTCACAGGTACTTCTCTGGCTTCTCCGTTTATGATACAGATAAAAACATGAGACTGGAACATCAGTTACCATTGCCAAGAGATAATTCCATCTTCCCAGAATGGAAATACTTGAGTTTTTCATAGTCACATAATGCTCCTTAAGCAGTGCTCTAACACTTTGTATCATAAGGCCTGGATATAGCCACAAAACTCACTGAGAGATTAGGACACAATTGTTTGCCTCCTGCTATTCAGATGAAGTTGTACAGGCAGACTAAGTTGACTAAAATCTACAAGAATTCAAATACCATTATGCATTTAAAAATACTCAAGTGTTTAAGAACCCATCAGCTTACTTCAAAGTTTCTAAAACACAATATCCTCCAAAGTAATGGCAATGTGCTTCTTGTATCATTTCATTTCAGGGTAGTATTTTGGATGCATGGCTCTAAGTAAGGATTAGACATAGGCACAAAGTAGAACCTGTTAGCTATTACCATTCTGTGATTTGACTAAATGGCCAAGGGTTTCATGTCACAGTACTGACTCACATTATTTCCCAAATTGCAGGGCAGATGGAAGGAACAAGGAAAGGAAAGCTTCCAGAACCTTCTCAATAGAAAATGGACATTGACCAAGGAAAGACACACAGCACAGATCATTTTGCTCAGTCATTAAGGCCCAAAGTGATCAGTTTTGGTGACTGAGGCATTTGGAACCACTGGCAACCAAGTCTCTAGATATGTGACACACTTTGTTACCTTTTGTAGCACCATCTTCAAGTGTAAATGAAAACTCAAAGTTCTTTCCTGGGTTGCCTAAGGCTAATTAAAGGGCTCACAGGCTTTGGCTATGCTTTCACTAAGCATAGCTGGGATTTTTATATACCTGGGCATACTACGCTTTAAGATTGTCAGAAACCAGTTGTACTACTCTCAAGACTAACCAGACTTCTATGAGCAATAAGCTATTTGCAGGCAGGGAGGCAGCGCTAAGGGAAACATGTGTTATCATGCCTCACTAACCAACTCATCCCCCCACCCCACAGACCTTCTTCAAGTTCTATATCCTCCAAACACCAGGCTCTTTCTAAACTGTGTATAGTAACAGTGGGAGGTCCAAGAGGATGTGGGCAGGAAGGCAGTGGAGATCTGTAGTCCTGGAAGCCCCTAGAGAAACAAGGCCCACCCAGCCAAAAGGGTGATTTTAAAGATCTGGGCTAGATTACTCTTTGAAATCACTTGGTAAACATAGATGGGCACAGCCTGTTCTCAGTCTTCCCCAACCAGTTGAATTTATCGGCCCGAGTGTGAGTTTACTCAATAGCCTTCTACACTATCCCGCCTCCTCTTGTAGCTACTTGCCTAGTACTCTCTCTGCACTTATGTTTTCTAGAGGCATTACCTGGGTATGTCCTTCCCTTTTATATTCCTCAGAGGTGCAGAAATAGCTCAGCTTTTTCATCTTTCTGGCACTCAGTTCAATGTCTGGCATATAGGAGATGCTTGACAGTTAATGAGAGAATATAATGATTTTATGATGGGGGCAGGGGGATGACAGACTTCAGGTTAAACATGGTAGATTGACTGAAGGTGTTTGTTTCCTTCATCATTCAAGGCGCCACTAAGACAGAAATAAAGGAATTAAAAACTAAACAGGGATAGAAAGAAGAACAGGAACACATCAGTAGAAAAGTAATTCCCACCAAGGTTTTGGAAGAGTGGAAAGATACTTTTCAGGGTATAGTAAATGACAAACTCCAGTAACTGCAGATGGGGAGACTCTCCAGTCAGGGGCTGAACTACTTGTAGACACCTTGGGCTTAAGAGGTGCCAAGTATGGCAAACATGCAGGAAAGG